TGACTTATAAATCATCTCCTGCTGTTGTGGTATTGAAGGATGTAATCAGTTTTGACACTACACAAATCATCTCATTATCACGAAAAACCTGCTTTGATACCTTTAGATAATGATAAAGTTAACTTGTTTTCTTGAGAAAACCACTGTGAAAAAGTATCGGAGGGACACAACTGCCCTGGGCTTCTGTAGTCAACTTCTCCGGAGTCCTCTTAATAATTACACAACTCAAGTTTTATAACATGGAAACAATTAAGAGGTTGCAGGAAACTAGCCCTCAGGAGAAGCTATGGCTCAACCCGGGTGTAAGGTATTTAATTTCATTTAGTAACCTTTTCATTTTTTTGGCAGATATTATCTTGTGAGTGATGGAATACCTTTGATAGTTGTAGCCATTACCGCTGGCTTTGGCATAGATAACTACGGCAGCAGAGACGGAGCCTTGTAGTAAGTATGGATTCAGTTTATACTTCATTGATTATTTAATATTTGTAAGATAGAAATAAGTCTGATATTCCTGTCTACTATTTTCAGTTGCTGGATGGCATGGGAACCTAGTCTGGGAGGCTTTTATGCCCCAGTGGGTCTTCTGGTCTTAGTCATGTTCACATACTTTTTGATTACCTACATCCAGCTAAAGCGCCACCCGGAGAGGAAGTATGAATTGTGCCTTCTAAATGAGGATCAGCAGATGTTGTCATCCAGTGAGTCAAACCATCATTGTCAGAGTGGCGGTGGTGGAGCTTCGAGATCCAGTGGAGACTGCCTTCCATTTTCTACTGGAGTATCTGTTCTTGCCAACGAACACTCTTTTAAATCGCAACTCAGAGCCACCTTCTTCACACTGTTTCTGTTCCTGGCAACGTGGACTTTAGGGGCATTGGCTGTATCACAGGGATATTTCCTGGATATGATATTCAGCTGCCTTTATGGGGCCTTTTGTGTCACTCTGGGCCTGTTCCTTCTTATCCAGCACTGCGCCAAACGGGATGATGTGTGGAATCGTTGGTGGGTGTGTTGCCATTCCAAAACCAAGATAGAGGATGGAAATACTGATGGCCAAAGTCAGAGCCAGCAGCCGCACTGCCATCTCAGCTCTCCGTGTTCAGGCAAGCAGCTGCTGCTTTCTTCACATCTTTTGCAGAGTTCCTTCGACAAAATGACGCCACCTCCTCATAGCCCAAGTCCAAGTAACACAGGTCCATGTTGTGTGGCTGTAATGAGTCCAGCATCCCCTATTCCGTCTCTTATTGAACCATTATCCTCACCACGTCCACATTCACTACCTGATGATCTCCCACGTCCAACTCTTCCCCTGCAGAGATGCCTTACTGAAAGAGCAAAGTCACGCTCTTTTAACCGTCCACGCCCTTGCCTACAGGACTACCGCTCACATATGACTTCCCTAAGTATGGATGGAAGTGTGCATTCTTCCCACAGGGACAGCCCTCTGCCTTCACATCATCTGGAAGGAACATCATTGGGTTCCAATAGCCCGCTTCCAGATCTTCAGCTTCCTTGTCCTAGCCCGAACTTGGATAAGCAGATCACTTCCTGCCACACCTTACAACGCCAAACCTCCTGCCAGAGTGCACAGGACTCAGTGACTTCCTGCCATGGGCATGTTCACAACATGTACGATAGTATAAATTCCTGTCACAGCCTTCTCCTGCCTTCTCAAGGGCTCCATTCCTGCCAGTGGCATAAGTATGGTTCAGTGAATCCCTCTTGTAATGCAGCCTGTTGTGAATCTGATCCCTTTACATCACAATGTGAACAAGACCCCCAAACCTACTGTGGCACATCAAAGACAGAGGATCTTGACACGGAGCAAAGAGGCTTCCCAAGAAACACCTTGCCTCGACAGCATTCCACCATTGGCCGGCGAGGAGTCATTGGTCGAAACAGGAGTCTGCAAGAAGATGGCCTCTTTGGTTCCGATGCTACAGGAAATATACGGACTGGCCCTTGGAAGAACGAAACCACAGTTTAACAGTAAAGTCTGCTAACACTGTCTTTGTTGATTATGATTTGGGTTTGCTGGTGAAGATTCTCAGTCATCCAGATCATAGTCATTTCAAAAAAGTTAAAAAACAATCCACTGGACTTTGTTTTCAAGTTTGAAGACATTTTGCGTCCCATCCAGCAAGCGAAACTTGCAAATTGAAAAATAAGGTTTTGTAAAGCCTTGAACTTAACACTATTTCTACAATTTTGAATTTAAAAAGCTTCCTAGGTGCGAAGCAAAACGTCTTCAAACTTAGAAAACAAAGTCCAGTGGATTGTTTTTTTAACTTTTTTGGTATGATTTGGGTTGTTATTGCTGTCAGTGGAACCCTTAAACAACCTTAACGAGTCTTCAAATCGCTTCAGGACTAACTAAAACTTGTCAAATATACTTTTTTCTTAGTAATATCTGATGAAGAAACAATTGCACCCAGAGTTGAGTCCACATTATGCTGTAAAGCAGCAAGCAATACTGTATGAATGCTCAGGGGGAAGGTGGCTCATTTGGAGGGGTCCTTAGTTGGAACCATAGGAGTTCCACTTAGATGTCTTCTGTGTTCTTGGTTTTTTGTTGTTTGTTTTATTGCGGCATTTTAGACACCTCATGAGGCAGTTGGTTTGCCTATGGGTGTCGGGCAGTTTGGCTCTTCGAAAAGGATATAAGATATAAAGTTACAAAATAGTATCTCAATAATAAGATTGATTTTATAAAAAAAAAATATGGCATCGAAGATGGCAGGCCATATTGATGTAATAGTGATACTGTTTGTATGACCATCAACCATTTGGAATTTTTATGTCATGTTCTTATTAGCTTGTATAAGTTCTGTTAGTTTAATCTTACCATCTTAATTATGTACATGTAGCAACAATATAACACCAGCACTGACAGATTTTAAACTTTGCATATTAACAGAAACCTAGAGAGTCCACTGCCCTTCATTTTCTACAAAATGAGCCTCACTAAGGGAATCTTTAATATAAGTTTATTTGCAAACAGAAAAGCTTCCAACAACTTTAAATAACACCCCAAACCAGATTAGTAATGATCCTTTTTTACCTTGTCTGGATCCATGATCTCTTGATGTCTTTTTGTGGGTGTAAACAAAAAGGGGTTTTTAAAGGAGTCACCACTTGAAAATCTCACTTTCTCCATGTTAAAATGTGTGTGTTGGTGTTTGGCTTTAGGTAAGACCTGCTTAAAGGAAAAGTCCGGTCATAGTCAGAATTCAAACTTCTGGACTTTGAATATGAAATTATTACATACTTTTCAATAAATGATCAGTGTTTTTAATTAAAAACACT